AACTTAAATATTCACAATTGAATGCTTATAAACAATTTGTCGTCAAAATTTCATTGATAAACTTTATTTTTAAAAACATGCTTAACTTTGAGAGTGGAGCTTGTGCATTTACACAATAGTTCGATCTATATAAATAAATCTTATAATGGATAAATTTAACGTTTTATGTGAAAATGAGCATTTAGGTACTGTAGGGTTTACGGGTTATATAGTCTCGATTAATATTACACTTTTCAAATGAACATTTCAGTAGAGGTATGCATAAACCACTGCTAAAATAAACAACACTAACATCTTTATGGTGCATAATTAACCATTTTATGTTATGTTAAAGTTTTATTACTTTATGTCTTTTGATTGATTTCGTTATTTTTGAAATTAAAAGAAAACATTTACTTATGTTCATAATATGTAGTAAAGAAGCTTTTACAGTAATAATTTAATATCTTTGAAATGATATGGATATTTTGCAAAACTGTCTCTGAGATTTAACAGAAAAGAGTATGATAATGCTGTTATAATCAGAAACGCTCTTTTGTTTACCCACATATATAATTTTACTTTTGTTTATGTCTGACTGAGCTTTATTTACTTAAAACCTACTATTATTATTATATATTTATAACAACCATTTTCATAATTACTCTCACATACTAAAGGATTAAGGGGAAAATGATGAAATCTTAAATAATCGTAACTTAGAATTTAAGTTGTTAACAAAATTTAGTTTAAAGTAATGAAAATAATTAAAGCTATTATTAATTATGCATATTTATTCTAAAGAGAAAAATTGTAATACCTTCTGATTTTCTAGAAAAGATAAAATATTTAAACTTTATAAAAATACAAGAAATACAACATTTTAAGAAAGAAGAAAAATATATTAAGCTTATTTTTCTGCATAAATCATTATGTAACACAAGGACATAATAACGACGTTTTCACAACTGTTGCAAAAAGGTAGAAGTCTGAGAACATTTAGGCGTCGTTAAGACGTCGTGATAGGATGCTTTCCCAACCAAAATATAATCTGAGAAAGACGCAATAACGATGTCTATTCGGCAAAAACCTCATCTGCAAAGATGTAAGAAAGGCATCTTTCCAACGGTTGCAAAACAGTGGAGTTTCGCGGACATCTGGGCGTCTTAAAAACGACATATTGCAACGTTAGTGCAAAGTGACCCGCGACGAGTTTGCAACGTCATTACGACGTTGCCGTGCTATTTGGGAAGTCTACTATATTTTTGCATCAAATTATATTTGGAACATAATGTGATAGGAAAATTTCAGATATTCGATTTTGCGTAACCTTTCCATCTGATATTAATGTCGTGGAAACGAAACAAAAATTACTTCATACTTTCACAGCAACGAATTTCATTTCTGTGTGTAATTTATTACATGTTAATTGTTAGTCAAATGCTGATCAAAAATGTAATTTATTATTCAAGAGTGTTTGTGATTTTAAGCTTTTACATTCCGAACCTGATGATGTTGATGAACTACAGTGTTCACGATTCTGATGACGACGATGATAATTATTCTGTTAAGTCAAGTTCACCTAACGTAAATATTTCCGTAGATTAAAATTATGTCTACTAACATTTCATTATACTTACGTGATATTTTAGATACGTTTACGGAATTTAATAGAACTGATACATATCCGGTAGAATCGTCTATTCGCGATCTAGAAAAAGCTTTTAAATTATTTCCGTTATCTGAAATTTAAAAAAAAAAAAAATGTATTCTCTTAAAACGTGCTTACTGGTTCTGCTAAAGCATTTATTCGGTCTTTGAAAGATATTATGTCATGGAACAAATTAAGAGAATGTCTTTTATCTGAATTTCGCTTTAAAATAAATAGTGCACGAATTTATAATTTGTTATAAAAACATTTTAAAACCTGTTGAATCCTTTTCTGAGTATTTAATTGCAATGCAAGAAGTAGTTGCTTATGGCTTTGACGATTCATCTATTATCAATTATGCAATTTATGGAAAAACCTGGTATAAATAGTTTAAAACTTATTTTATATAATGGTAAAACTAATTTTGTCAAATTCAGAAATAGGCAGTAATTTATTTCTGAAAAATTTTTAATTTGAAAATTCGCACTCCAGATCCAAGTCCTAAAGGCTATTCAAGCATAAACATCTATACCTAGTAAAACTAACGAACCAAGTTGTTACGATTGTTTAAATGTAGGTCATATAAAGGATTTAAATGTTTTAAATGTAATTTATTTGGACACAAAGTCATGTATTGTTCCAAAACGTCTCCTAGAAACATCCACGTTGCCAAAACTCTTATTCCAACTACTCAGACTTATCAGAAAGAAATGCATAAAGCTGATAATTTAGGTAATTTTCAAATCAATGCTTTAATAGATACTGGAAGTCCAGTTACGTTAATCCGAGATTTACTTAAGAAGCGAGATTCCCCTGAGCTTAAGCCGGCAAATTTACAATTATCTGCATTTGCCAATGGGAAAATTCAACCTATAGGGACATTTGAAGGTGAATTCCAAATTGATAATTCTACATTTATATCAAATATTTTAAGTACCGCAAAAAAAAAAACTTTTTTTAAAGCTATCATTGGTACAAATATTATAAGCCTCGGACAATTGACTTTAAATGAAAAGGGGAATTGAAATTGAAAACTTGCAGCCAGAAAACCATTACACGTGTATTCTTAATATTCATAATGACGAAGAAATAATTAAATTACATTAAAATGGGGTGAACTGAGACGAAATACTGCAGTTGTAAGGATAATCTGAATAAAATTAAAGCATCTGCCCTGAAGATGAGATAGATGTTGACAAATAAACTTCTGGTTCATTGCAAGCCGAGACATTCGTTCACTCCGCTAAGCAGAATGAAATAGATGAACAAATCATAAAAACCAAGTTGTTCCGATTTTTCAAATAATGTGAAGCAGAAAAGAAAATGGCTCCAATCGACTATATGTAGACTTTAGACGCCTAAATAAAAAAAATATACGAGATCGCTTTTCACTGCCATTAATTGATGATATCATTGATAAATTTGAATCTGAAATGATATACGCTATATTGGAATTGAAAAATGAGTTTATTCTTGTTGAAGTAGACGAAAAAAGCACAAATACACATCTTTTGTAACTTAAAATGCACAATTTGAATTTTTGGAAGTTCCTTTTGGTCTTGCGAATAGCCTAAGCTTTTCCAAATATAGTATAGCGATTTTTCAAATAATGTGAAGCAGAAAAGAAAATGGCTCCAATCGACTATATGTAGACTTTAGACGCCTAAATAAAAAAAATATACGAGATCGCTTTTCACTGCCATTAATTGATGATATCATTGATAAATTTGAATCTGAAATGATATACGCTATATTGGAATTGAAAAATGAGTTAATTAAAATGAGGAAGGTATATTTCGTGGTTTTTTTAAAGGATAACACTGTAGTAATCTATATGAATGACATCATTATTCCTTCCATATACAAAACTCCAGGAATCCAAAAGCTGAAACGTGTTTTATTGACCGCGTCGGATTATGTATTAGAACTAAACATTAAGAAATGTCAATTTTAAAAATGTTAAATTAAATTTCTAGATCACAAAATTAAGGATGGTAAATTATATCCTATTTCTTCTAAAACTAAAGCAGGAATTAACTTTCGAAGGCCTTATTGTGCAAAAAATTTTCAAAGAGTTTTAGGTTTAACGGATTATTTCAGAAAAATCATCCCTGATTATTTATTAATTGAAAAGTCGTTAAGTGATTTATGTGAGGGATTCTATTTAAAGTCGTGACACATGATAAAGCATTTAAACAAACTATGAACAAGAAAAAAATTTACATTAAAATATCTAGATGGGCATTAATGTTACAAGATTAAATTTACACAGTCGAACGTAGTAGATCTGCTACCCATATGCAATCTGTTAATACTTTGAGTAGAAGCTCTGTATATATGGAAATTCAAGATGCTGTAACATTTAATACAATTCAAGATCAAGAAACTGATGAAAATATAAAAGCTGTAAAGAAAGTTTTAAATTCTAAGCCATATGAAGTCTATCGCTTACGAAATGATGTGCTTTACAAAATTTTGGATAAAAATTATGCTGTCACCGACGAATTAGTACATGATTAAAGGAAAGAAAAACAACACATTCAGATTTCAAGCCATCGAAGAGAAATGGCACCGCAGAAGGAGATTCTGAAGAGAGGCACATTCCCGAGGAAGAGTCAGTTGCTAAAGATGCTGAACTAAATACTAACTCCACTAAAAACGCTTCAGTAACATTCCCTGCAACAAATAAGCAAAAGAAACTACTCAAAACAAAGAAAGTCCAGAGATCACCCGAAGAAGACGAGAAGACTGAAAAGCAGAGAAATCTGCCGATAAAACGCTCATACAAAAAGCAAAGATGGAGCAAAAGAGGGCAACGAAATTGAGAAAAAGAAGCGAAAATCAAATTCAGAAGATCCAGGAAGAAAATCAAAAGATTTTGATAATACAATACCGATTCTGATGAGTACTGATTTAGACCTTTTCCCAACTTGACAAATTTCTCACGATCTGACTACAGTCTATCGGTGTACATTTTATTACTTGTGATTACTGTTTTAAAGACAAAAAATATTTTAAGAACGGTGAAGATGATGTCAGCATGTATGATATTATATTGGTAAACCCTATACGGCTTGAAATAGTTGAGAATACATTTGAAATTCAGTCTCTCAGCAAAGAGGTGTACTAGATATTTACGGTGTAACGTATTACAGTTGCTAACAAATTCCAGGATATATCTTCAAAATATATCGGTTAAAAGGTAAAGTTTAAGCGTAAAAAGGAGTTTTAGTAATTATTCTAGATCAAATATAGATGTTGAACAATCTGGATGTTTTTGCATATTCCCCAAACTAACTACTACTAATTCCCAAAATTGAGTAAATATATTTAAGATATTTACAGGAATATTTTATAACCTGGCTATTACCTTGAAGTCCATAGTTATGATAACCCATGTAGCCATAAGCGTTTTGAGCAGCTGCAGCTGCAGCGGCTGCCGAACCTGCAGTTCCGTAGTTTCCATGAATTCCGTGAAAATGATTATCTATAGGAGGAAAATTAAAAATTTCTTTAAAAATGAGTTCAATCATTAAAAGTTACTATTTCATTATTTACATATCAAATCAAAGGAATTAATACACTGCAAAGGAAGCAGCGCCAGAGAAAGACAATCATTTTAGAAATGTAAATATAAAGATGAAACTTTGAATAACTGCAACAACAAATCTTACGACAAAAACTTTATTAATAACTCATTTCAATTTCCAACACTAAAGTATAAAGCAAATTATCCATAAAAATAAGTTTCTTTTACGCATATAACAAGTTAAAGAAATTATCTGAACTAGTTTGTATGATCATAATATTACAGTAAAACTTCAGATATCCACAGAGCTATAAAGAAGCTATTGAATTGGTTCAAAATTCAGTAAGTCTAACAAGATTTCACTACAGTTTTGCACAATTCAGTTCAAAATTATTCATTTTTCATCCATAAGTCAGATTTTTTAATCAGATAATGTAGATGATGTTGCATTATGCCTTAAATGCACCGCATAACTCTTCGAAACTTACTATTGCGGATATCCTCAGAAAACGCCTTCTGTGATGAACGACGCTTTGTACCTCCACTACCCATACTAACGTTTCGGTTTATGCGGAGTTTCCACATGTGTCTCAAGACTTTTACTTTCCCAAATGCTGCAGTTATGTGCATGTATACTTTCATTAAAGAGAAAAAGGAGCTTAGTCAATAGACAGGGCATTTGACACACTCCTGTAGGAAAACTGTCACCCGGAAAAAAAGGAACGGTAAGAAGGGCATCGGAAAAAAAACGAAAATAAGTCACCATTACTTTGCAATAGAAAAAGTTAGGCATGTTTAGAAATATAGCCAAGCTAAGCTAGGAGAAAACGTTTATTACAACAACCATGACTTAAGATTACCGGTGATTAAGACTGACGATGATTTCAAGAAGGTAAACGAGCTGTTGCCTGTGCAATAGTAAAAATAGAGGGATGTTATTGTCAGATCCTGATTAAAGGCTCCCTTTAACGTCATGTAGTATTATAACTCCAAATTGTAGCTATCTGAAACAGTGATTGTCGCATAATTCATCTGAATTCGCCTGACTTCGTCTGAGCGTTTGGTATGAAAGCAGTTTAAAACAAACCTTTGCTGATGCAATTTAAAGTCCGGTTTGTGATTAGAATATTACTCATTTTTTTCTATTATTAAGTATCGCATAATTTTCTGCATTTGATTTTAATTAAAAGCAAGGTATCTGCACAGGAAACAATTGTTTGAATAAGAAATAAATAAAATTACAGCCAGGACAATTTTAAGAGGTTTATTTAAAAATTACGTAACATTTTTAAAAACTGATTAAAATGTAATTTATAGTCACGTCATTTGAATTTAAAAATTTAGTATACAATGACTCTCAAAAGTGAGAAAAATGTACTAAGTATTTATCTCTAAGACGAAGGCCACCACCGAAAACCAAAATAAATTAAACACGTGTGTAGTCGCCCTAAGAAGGATTTAATATAATTTAAAACAATTAAATTGTAATGTATTTTACCAATTACATTGTAATGTATTTTACCAGAATTAATTTTAAATATTCAATACATAATGAAAGAGTTTATCGCAACCACCTCCCTAAGATTACCACTTCAAAAGTGACTAGCACTTCCAAAAGCATAAACGAACAGTTGTACTAATCATCTCTCTAAGACAATCACTTCCTCAGAAGAGCAAAATGAAATAGAAACGCGGATGGACGTCTCAGAACGGTTTCAGTGTGTTTTTACTCATAGCATTTACATTCTTTACAATTAGCTATAAATCTGAAGGAAACTTGTAAGCAGCCAAGCGGTTAAGCCGTTGAATACTGGTAGTTTGAACCTTGGTTCGACTCCTAGCGAAAAGGTTCGCTAGGATGTGTATGTGTTTGTGAGTATGGCAAAGCCTCGAGGGCTATCCTGCCTAAGAGGAGGGATGCCTTCGTGGAGGACTTTCTAAGGGAAACTGGCTCGTATACACGTTACACATGGGGAAAACCACGAAAACGCCCATGCAGCCAGCCCGTTCGCGGGATTCGAACCTCGAACCGAACTACCAGTGTTCAGCGACTTTACCGCTCGGCCGCTGGTGGGCGGCTCGCTAGGATGGCGCTTTCGTAGTTTTCCCCATGTGTAACGTAAATTTACAATCAGACATGGATAAAACAGTTTAGTTCCACGACCCAGAGGCAGGGTAAGCGGCTGGCGGACCTGGCAACCGTTTTTAACCACACACTTCGAAGACGCTCCGTGAACACATAGTGATCTGGAAATACGAGCTTAATTAAAGAAGTCTAATCATTCAAAACACGTTACGGTTACCTCAGTAAAATAAAATATTCATCAATCTATTGTACCCAAGAGCAACAAGCAGAAGTATGGGCAAAAATCCAGATATTTTCGCACGTCTAGGATAAATGAACGACGGTAGCTGGAGAACAAAATTTAATCGTCAGAAAAATTTTTCGCCGAAGAGAAGCGACTTGAAGAATTAGTAGTAGAAGAGTTAGTTATGAGTAACAGCGGGTTTACGCCGAGAATAAGTTTATGCCGCGAGCGAGATTTATGCCGCGTGTTTGCAAGTTTGCAAGCTCTGTAATTTAATATTTGTGCTAAAGACTTACTTTTAGATTATTTTATATTTTAGACTCGACCTTGTTGAATGCAGTTGATAATTCTGATTTAGATTGAAGTAAAAGCCAGCGGTGTTGTTGAAATTTGATTAATTCTAATTGTACATAATATTTTCTGTTTAAGTTACTTCGCCACAAGTGGTGGTTATACCAGTGTGCGCATTTTTTGCTCCGTTTAGCTAAAATAAAAATGTTGTTCTAACCTCGTTGGTAGTTATCTGTTTTCAACACATAGCAAGAATGCGCTATCTCATGTTCAGAAGGGTCTACAATTCATGCTCTCTAAACGAATAACACTCTAAAAATTATTTTAAATTATTATTTCGTTTCTTCAAACAAAAGAATTAACACACTGCAAAGACTCAACGCCAGAGAAAGGTTCCTCTTAACTCGTTCGCATCGAAGTCGCCCGTAACGCCCGTTCATTCAGGCAACGGTAAACCGCCCCAACGCCTGTTTATTTTCATAGTTTTTTTCCACGTTGTGATGGCTCCTTGGTTTCGAGTGGTTAAAAGACATGCAATCATTCTTTCGAAGCAAATAAAGGAAGAATACGGAGTATTGACGTTCGCAGGTGCAATCGGCCACTAAGCAACTGCCACACTGGATAAACCACAGGGGAAAGGAAATCCATTCCAAGACCACTCACACACGGGCGTTTCGAGTTTGTAGAAAACAGATTTGGTCGTCTCTCGTGCGAAGAGTTAAACACTGCAAGACTCAACGCAGAGAAAGGTTAACAACTTTCGCATCGAAGTCGCCCGTGCAATCCGGCCCTAAGTGAAACTGCACACAATGGATGAAACCGCAGGGGGAAAGGAAATCTATTCCAAAACAAATTCGTAAACACGGGCGTTTTCGATGTTTGTTGAAAACAGATTTGGTCGTCTCTCGATGCGAAAGAGTTAAAGACAATCATATCAGATATGTAAATACAAAGAAGAAATCTTCGAATAATTTAACAATGTCACAAAAATTGCTGTGACAAGAAACGCTTTGTAATTTCAAACACGAAAGTATAAAGCAAAGTACTCGTAAGTTTCTTTTATGTATGTAACAAGATAAACAAATTAACTTGTTTATGTGATCCTATTATTATAGTGAGATGTCAGAGGTTCACAATGTTTAAAGAAGACACGATTTCATTGATAGTTAGTGAGTTTAAGGAGATTTCTCTAACGTTTTGCATGATACATAAATTTCAGTTCGAAATTATTCATTTTCCATCCTCTTTAACTCTTTGTGGAGGGGGCTGTAAACCAAACTCTACATAATAAATATCATAAATATTTTACTTTTGCTCCAACGTACAAACTTCAAACACAACATAAATATTAAATCTTTAGAACACAATTGTAATAAAATAAGCCGCGTGTAGCCACATGTCTGAAATAAAATCACCAGGAAGTTTCATTCATTTATGAAACGAAAGTTCTAGATCAAATTCGAATCACTCATAATCCAAAATGAAATCCATGGCCTGGAGGGTTTTACGTAAATTTTAATTAAACTTAATATTTACATATATAGAATGTAAGCTAAAATGCCTGAATCGAATATTAAGGCTCAAAATGGAAGAATTGAATAGTTCCATCAAAGAATCTAAATAGAATTATATTGCGTAGTGCATCGAATTCTACCTTCAACAAGAAGAATATTTTCCCAAGTCACGTGTTCAGAAGGCGAAGGGTTAAGTAAGTCAATAGATGGACTCCTAACGCCATCTCTTGGCGGGATCAAAGAATACTCCTTCACATTTAAAAGTAGAAATAAATGAGCTTTATCTGCTTACGAAATAACAGGAGCGAGCCTTTTCGGCGAGTAGTATGTGTTAACACATCCATACGTTAGAGGTTTTCAAATCTAATATTCTAATGGGTTACATTCTAATTCTTTGAAATACACTTATGGATAAACTTTCTTAATTAGTCTATTTTTTGGGGCGAGAGACATATAAGTGAACTCATATTTCTATTTCGAATCCAAATTTGCAATTTTTATCTCAATCCCAGTATATATATAAACGTACTGTTCTGGATATCCTCAAAACACATCGCTATGGTAAATGACGCTCTCAACCATTAGTACCCACACGAAATAATTAATACAGCGCGAAATTACTGTTCTCTGGAACCGCTAATCGCAGTCAATAACGCTGATGCCATACACGGAAGTAATACTTAAGCAGCCAATTATAATTTTACTGCAGTGTTAATTATTGAATGGAAACCGAAACTCACTCATTCTGAATTAAGATTTCATCTTGAACATTGCTTATTTGACTTCTACACTTAAACCTAGCTATATTTCTGCTTGCTGCTCTTTTCTTACTGTAAAGCTATGAAAAATATAAATGTTTTGAAATAAGCGCGAGTAGTGTTTTAAGCTGTTGGAAGCCGCAATAGATGTTTTGAGATAAAAATGTTATCCGCTACCAGATTGTTCCTTACAATGCATCCACATTTTCAGCATCTACGAAATGCAATATTTCTACATCTAAGCTATCAATATTTTTCTATATCACTACATCTAAGTCTGCTGCATTAAATGTAGATATCCCAAAAAGACTGAAAAACGCTTCAAAATGCACCATTGTGGAATTCTTTAAAAAAGCCGTTTATGGTGAAGAACACTGTGAGCCAGAACCACCGACACTAACATTTTTGGCTTATGCAATGGGTTCGTAATAGTAGCACGTAGGATATTTTTGCTATATTAAACCATTTTTGGATATTTTACCCTCATTAGAGTAGAAAGGGGCCTAATTAGAAGACAGAACGTTTGATACCTGTCGTTAAAAGAGGAACTAATACGGATACCTGGTTCGTATTAGACAGGATGCCGCACTTAATTTCAGCTCTGTGGGAACACAAGAGCAAAAGACATAACGATTAGAGAAAAAGACCATTTTTTTCAGCAGCTGCTAAGCTATTACATGCCTTTCTAAGCATTTCTAAGAAAACAACATCATATTACTGTGCGTTCTTTTCAAATTAATGAATTTTTACTTTTTCTGTTACATTTGGATCTTCCGTACGTATAGTCAGAAATTCGTTGGCAATTTATGCATAGCAATGTTTACAATTGTATTGCTTAATTTTGGAATCTATGGAAAAAACTTACAGTTACCCAAGTGAATTGGTTCAGGCTATTTATTTTTTAAATACAATTATCAACTTCTTGAAGCTCTACATTTTCAGTTTAAGGGATTCATAAACCTTAATCCCCATTATGATCTTCGAATACGTGACTGTTACAAGAATTGGGATATTTTATTTATTTTAAAAGCAATTACGTTTACCTTTTTACAGCTGACTACATAATATAGCTGCTTTGGGAACTAGTAAACAGAAAGTTTGTATTGCCACAAATGTTTTTGTAATTTAATCCGCTTTGTGACAAAATTTTCGTCTTATTTCCACCTTGCGTGTATAATATTTTTTAAATGACTAATGTTGCATACTTGAAATTGGATGAAATTCTTTATATGGACACTATTTTCTAACTGAACCAAAAATCTGATGAATATTTTAATATTAAAACATTTTGTGAAAGAAAACATTACAGATTCTTTTAATAAAATGCATTTTATAAAGTCAACTCCAAATAAAATAAAAATTTAACATGAAATTCTTAGAATTTTTGGTTCACAGTAGTTTTCAAATGTTATAAAAGCTATATATTAAATATGGAATTAAATAATGCAACAGAATATTTTAAACTGTGCTCACAAGGTGGAAACATGACGAAAAATTGTGTCACAAAGCGGATTAAATTATAACAATATTTGCGGCAACACAAACTTTCTGATTACTATTTCAAAAAGCAGCTATATTATGTAGTCAGGTGTAAAAAGTTGGAAGTAAATGCTTTTAAAATAAATAGGTTATCGCAATTCTTGCAACAGTCACATATTAGAAGATCTTATGGGTTTTAAGGTGTATGAGTGTTTAGTGATTCAAATAATGAAAATTATTTTCATCATTTACCTTAACGATCGTAAAATTAATACCTGATCCCCTTAACAGATTTTCTGCTTTTTAAATATTAGATAACTCTTCTCTAAGCGTACTTTGCAAAAACTGGTAGTTCTAATAATTTTATGTAACCTAAAATACACTGCTGGTCATTAAAATTGCGACATCATGAAGGGAATGAAATAAAAAAAATAGTTTTATTGCACGCAAACAGAATGGCATGAAGACCAAATTATTAAATTTGTAATCATTTTGGAGGTTTACAGGGGTGCGAAATTATTAGAAACAGCTGCCATCTCTGGCAGCTTAAACAGTCCTTATCCCATTAGGCATGGAGTCAAACTGGGCTTGGATGACAGAACTGGGCAACTCATTTCATGCTCCTTTAAGCCTATGCCACACTTTATCAACCGCATTAGCTGGAGAAGCTTGGCGGGCCAGTCTCTCAGCAACCCACGACCAGATGTTTTCAGTGGGTGACAGATCTGCAGACCGTGCAGGCCAGGGCAGCAATCGAATACGCTGTGTATTGAGTAAGGTCAGAACACGATGTGCAACATGTGCTCTTGCATTACCTTGTTGAAACATGGCGTTTGGCAGACCACTGAAGATAGCGCACAACCACTGGAAGTAAGATTTCAGAAATGTACCCATCTGCGTTCAAATTGGCGTCGATCCAAACTAGAGATGAGCGTGCCGTGTACCCAATGGTTGCTCAAACCATCACACCAGGTGCAGGATCCCTATGGTGATAATGAAAGCAAGCAGGCGACGGGAGGTCTATTTGGACAGAACCGGGACTCGTTTGAAAAGGCGATATTGTGCTACTCCTGTACTCAGCTTTTTCGTTTGGCGCACCAGAATCGCAGTCTCTCGCTATGCTGCATTGTCAAGGGAAGTCGAAATAATGGTCACCCTGATGATAGTCTACGCTGGTGCAAATTTCGATGCACCTTACGAGCTGATATTGGGCCTGCTGCAAACATACCCATTTCCTGACTAATGGTCCGTAATGCGGTTGTATGATTTTGCAGGGCTGACATCACAACATGTCCGTCTTCTCGGGCGTTAGTCACTACAGGGCGCTGAGTTTCGTTCAATATGACCCACAGCAACACATTGATCCCATATTCGCATGACAGTGCTTGGATTGCGACCAATGCGACCGGCGACATCACGGAGCGATAATCTACACTTTCGATAGGCAACGATCCCTCCTCTATCGAATTTCGAAACTAGTTGGTAAGTATTTCAGCTTCTTATTGGAGGCATAACACGATATGCTGAGAAAACTCCGACCTTTCCGAATGATAAATTCATTAAACAACCTTTCGTTTATGCAATGCTTCACATGTCTTTTCTCCCTCCTGCGTCGGCCCACCAGCGGTCGAGCGGTAAAGACGCTGAACACTGGTAGTTCGGTCCGAGGTTCGAATCCCGCGAACGGGCTGGCTGCATGGGCGTTTTCGTGGTTTTCCCCATGTGTAACGTGTATATGAGCCAGTTTCCCTTAGAAAGTCCTCCACGAAAAGCATCCCTCCCCTTAGGCAGATAGCCCTAGTGTGCTTTGCCGTAATTAAATACACCACACCACCCTCCTGCGTCGTCTAAATGCTGAAATACTAATCATTTGCATATCCCAACTTCTTCCTTTTATGTAATTTTGGCGTTCTTCAGATCAACCCTTCTTGGTGTTGAAATTTTAATGGCCAGCAGTGTATTTATGGTGTTATTTGAAGATCTAAATATTCCTTCTACTTGTAGTGTATAAAATATTATTAGTAGTTAGCTAGTGATTACCTGGAACAAAGCGCTCACCTCCATATATATGCGGGTCTCCATACGCTGCGTAACGAGGATCTGGATAATACGGTGAACCTGGGATAAATTTAGGACCTGGAGGATATATTAATCCATTCGCATGATAAGCAGGATTCATCCCATAGGGAGGTAATGCTTCTGGATCTAAAATATAAAAGCAAATTTAATAAAACGTGACATATTTATTAAAAGTCTCTAAGTTCAAGAAACTACCAAAATAAAAATCAATGTATTACAAACAGTTTCGAATTATATGTTAAAATGAGAAAATTCTGTATACTAAATTTTCTTTTTTATTTAGAAATGGCGCACTTAATTAAAATTAAATTAAAGAAAACAGAAACTTAGACTGGTATATTCCACAAAACTCTACGCATTCGAAGTGTGTTGCAATGAAATTTAGGGGACCCAAAAGTTTGTTCGATGTATCCAATGACACGCTACAGCCAATATAACAAAAAAAATCCATCATCTCACAAAATATTGTAAAATTTTATTAATGTACCCCAAGAAAAAATTATTAGCATCTTCATATCTCCTTAAATAAGGGAATATTATAAAATTCTAATAAAAATTTTAAATTTCTAATTAAAAGCATATTAATGGTTTATTTCAATTTATTATTTTATTTATAATGGCAATTATTAAATTTCATTTTCGTTGTTTTTCAGTTTCACTGTATGATAAAAATTTTACGCAATTAACCACTTAGCATAAAATTTCTGATTCACACAAAGGTCGGAAACCTTTTTTTGAAAACTGCCAAATCATAAAACTCTTAGGCGAAGCAAACCAAAGGAAAGGGGGTAAAAACGTTTTAGTACGTTATATTTTTACATAACATTGATACATTTTTACACATTTTGCTGATGCTTACCCCCTAAAATAATCTGAAAGCCCTCAGATTTTAACGACTGCCAAGCATTAAGGGCTCTTTTAAAGTTTAATACGAATTATGAGTAGAGATTATCAACAGAGATGGTCCAGGTGGAGTAGTTGAACATTTTATAGGGTATTAAATGAATATGCATTTAGACTAACATAAGAACGTTACATATCTTTTGTACACTTTAAGAGTGAAAAAATATGTATTGCAAATCTATAAAAACGTATAATGTTTTAATTTGATATATCATAAAATAAATGCATTTTTATTTAAATCAGTCCGATTAATAAGTAAAAAAGTGAAGTTCTTAAGAATTGTGTCTATTGCTTTTAAACAGATTAGTTTGTTAATAAATAACGGACAGACTAAACATAAAAGAATAATATTTTAAGCTTTTCCGAATGACAATAGAATCGGATGAAAAGTGAAACAATGTAAAATCGTGTTTCAAATTAATAGACTTTATGGAACCTTAAAATAAATAAAATGAAATAAAATGCTTTTATTTGCTATTAAAGTATTATAGAACAAGTTAAATCTGTGTTTATGGAATGAATGTAATTATCTCCTTGAGAGAGTATTTCGTCAAAATAGAGTATTATTAACTCAGATTATCCCTATCATTAATGTTGTTCCCTAAAGGTCATCAGTTAATAATGTTCTCTATTTAAGTTTACATATTTCATTTTCTAAAATGTTTCTGATAGCGAAACGTACTCCTAAATATAGATATAAATCCTCATGCAAATGATTTTAATTTACTGTATTTATTTTCTGAAAGTTATTTATAGAATTGGGTTAGATCCAATTCGTTAAATATCTTTTTACCATACAATTATTTTGCAGATCAATCACTACCGTTTCAAGGTATAAGAGAAAATTCTTGATTGTACATTCCAATATACTTTGAAATATATATTTATCCATATGGATAATGTCTTTTGCACTTGCATGAAAATCCATAAAGCCTTGTTTTAAAGATTTTAAGTTCAGAAAATATGTCCGCTGCAAAGGTTTTTGGAAGTAAGGATTTCTTGGAACAGTTAAAAGGACATTACTTTGATTCTTGACACACAACTTATACAATAATCGTTGTTCGGTGTGTTACGTTAACTCAAATAAGGATTTTGCCAGGATTTGCAAATTTTACAGAATGGAAAACGGTCAAACCTGTTTAAGGTTATTTGTGTTTTAAACAGTAAAAACTGCCAATGATATGATCACGCGATATAATACATTTCACACATGAGCACTGTTTTTCTTTGTAATTTTCGGCTAAATTCGTTAAGATATCCCATGATGTCTGTAGCAAAAGCCAACATTTGTAGTGATTCATCGTTCAGCAATAGTAGCTGAAAAATATTTATTATTTCATTAAGATCAATAAATCTTTCGCATTGCTGAACCATCAAAATACTGACAAGTCGGGATATTCGATTTCAAATTCTAATAAAATATCACGAAACTGACGATGTTTCTCCCCTTACACAAATGGTTGATACTTTGGTGTTTCTCCTGGCATTCAGCAGGATAATTGGCTCCTGCTCTTGCCAGTATCCTCAGAAAATCCCGACTGGGCCTGACTTATAATGAAGTTTGAAGATGAGAGTTCTCCATACGAGGTAAAATTGAAGAGGTGACACAAATACACGTAACGGATTAAGGTTTTTCCCACAAAGGGCCTGCTGGTGAATAATACGAGAAGTGTTGAACATTAAGCTTAAGCGATAGAGATCAAACACAAGGTCTAAAAATTTGTCTAATTCTTTCCCCTTGCACAAAATTTTACCATCATTTGTGGCACATTTTAAATGAATCATTCGCAAACTGTACTATACTAGTCTTCCCTAATTCCTTGAAGGAATTCCTGTACGCATTTGTTCCAAGAATACTACTTCTAGAATATAATTCTTCACTCAAGTCTAGCTTGCGTTGACCACTCGAATAAACAGCAACAAGTGGGGTGTACGGCAATTTCTCTTGAAAATCAACATCCAACGAAAACGAATTATTATTATTTTTTACCTTGTCTTATAATGTTTTCCGATGATAATGGTAATCTTATAATGCTTCTTATAATGAATGCTCATGCTTCTAGATGTCTTGAATTCTAATAATTCTTCTTGCCAAAAGACTGATAGATCGAAAGATATCCATTTTTTGGGTGCAAATGTCTTAACCTATCACAGTCTAACATAATTTAATTCATTCACCATCGGTAAATAATTTCTCCTATAAGGTATTTCTGCTGACGATATGTGAATTTAAGTACCTGAAGGAAGCTTTAAAATCTACACCGGTCCTGACGTATCCTGAGCTCGACAGACCATTTATTTTCGACACAAAGCGAGCAATGAAAGTGTCGGTGCTGTGTTGTCCCAAGAAATAAACGGCCAAGAATGCGTACTGCAGCAACTGCCTGTCTGTGTTACTGCAGCAAGTGCCTATCTAAACCTCAGAATTAGAGTTGCGCGCCATAGAACATTTCCATCATTATCTATACGGTAGAAATTTCTTGCTCTGCACGGATCGTGCATCATTGGGCTGGCTTTTAAATTTCAAGAATCCTAAAGGGTCAAATATCCAGGTGGATGCAGGCGTTGGTGTATTTAATTATGGCAAAGCACACTAGGGCTATCTGCCTAATTCCTTGAGGCAGATAAGGGGAGGGATGCCTTCGTGGAGGACTTTCTAAGAGAAACTGGATCCTATACACGTTACACATGGGGAAAACCACGAAAACGCCCATGCATTCGCGCCAGCCCATTCGCGGGATTCGAACCTCGGACCGAACTACCAGTGTTTAGCGACTTTACGTTCGGTCGCTGGTGGTCCAGGTGGATGCAAAGACTCCAGGAATATAACATCACTATCAGTCATATAAAGGGATTCATCACAAGGAAACGTCGACGTTCTCTCTAGAAGACCTTGCCCAGAAAGCTTCCGATATTATTTTAGGGTCGAAGCAAAAATACGAGCTGCTGAATCCGGTCGCAAATTATATCAACAACGGCTGATCGAGACCCATACAGTGACAAAAAAGTGAGGAAAGACCAGCTGGAAGACGCCGACATTAAACCCATAATTGATTTAATAGTCTTCAAACAGATAACCTATTTCGATCTATAGTCCTACATCAAAGCAATATTGGGCACTATGGTACTCAGTTTATATTCGAACAAGCGTCTTGTACCAGAAATTTGATTTGGGTTATGGAAAGATTTTCAGATGGCAACTGATACTTCCAAGATCCCGGATGCAGGATGTTCTTAAAAAAAATACATAGCAACCCTACAGGATGTGACTTCGGAATAATGAAAACCTTGCAGAGAGTTCGTGAGCGCTTCAACTAGAATAATGCAAAGTATGACGGGCAAAAGTGCTGTCGATCTTGTGATGCCTGTGCAGGGCAGAAAGGACCGAAGAAACACAGCAGAGGCAGCTGCAACATTAAAATGTAGGATCATCTGAGCGTATCGTCTTTTTCACCGTGGGACTTCTGCCACGAAACACTGATGGCAACAAAATACATCCTTGTTGTCATTGTTTCTTATTGCGTTGATGCCTTACGTTCAAGTCTGGCTTCCTCTCTAGGGATTGTACTGCTCGGGACGTTCAGTCCTGGGAAAGGGGACAGTGTTACGGATTTTGTATTTAGTTGGCTATTTTTAGTAGAATTGTAATTAAAATTGTTTCATATCTCCGTGCAATGCAGCACGAGATTTATTCTAAGAAAAAGCTATGGCGGAAATGTAAAAAATACAGGAGCACACGTATTTATCATTTAATAAATAGATATCTCGTAATTTATATTTAAATTGAATAAATGCAATTGTGTGTTAGCTGTAATTATAATTCTACTCTTTTGCTTTCCAGAAACCTCGAGAAAATAAAAATCACCAGAATGTTCTCGTGAATGATTAAAAAGCTTTAAAAAGTCGTAGAAAAACATCTCACTTCAGTTGTTTACTTACTTGTTGTTGTAGACTGTAGCGAATTCGCGGTGAGATCGGATTAGCAATTTCTGGGCTTTGAATTGTGTTCTATTTAACGTTTTAATAGTTTAAAATATAACTACTGTGTGATATTGTGATATTGTACGAATATCTGTGAGGAAACATTTCTGCTTTTTGTTTTATTTCTTGTGGTAAGAATAAATTTTATTAACTTTTCATCAGACTTGTGCATTCAACCTATTACGAACCCGTAAGCACGCAACAATGTGCTTTGTCAAATTCTCTTTTTTATTTTGAATCAGACTTCTGATGAAATGGTCTGAAAACTTTGACAGAATTTTGTGTTTTGTTTTTGGAATGTAGGTCAAATCATAATAATTATGGAAAAAAAAATAATTGACCTGGTCAAATTAGTGAATTCATGTTCTTTCACTGTGCTAAATTTTGCCAGAGTAATTAAAAAACAATGTAATTTATTAATTTATCAGGCTATTACATACACAATGAATTTTTTAATGGCCAATAAAATTGAAATGAATTTTCTATAAAGTTTCTAATTTATTGTTTATTTATTATTTGAGGGCACCATAAAAATTTTAACATTGTCAAATCATTTTTATTACTATAGCAAACAAAAAATGAATCAGTTCTAATTTAATCAAGCATTCATCGTTAAGCTTAGAGAAATGCAAAGAATTTACAATGAAGTTCAAGCAAATATGAAGAAAAGGAAAATAAATTCTTACATGCAAGTAGACTCCTTGTGCCTGGCTTTTTAATGATTTCTTCATCTACAAAACAAAAATGTTAATCTTTTTTTTTCAGTAAAAAATATTGCTTATTAATTATTAATTATTAATTATCATTTATTCCAGTAAAAGTCTTCAGAATTTGTGCGACTGGAGAGCAAACAAAACAAAAATTATAGCTTTTTCGCACGATAGGAAAGAAAAAAATAAAATTTAGTTACCAAAATACAAGCGAAACTCACATAACTAATTTATATTGATTAATATATGTATGGATATTTTTTCAGTAAATCAATTTTTATTTGAGAGGTGTCATATGCATGTCATTTCAACTTTATAAATTTAACGTTATGAAAGATTTTGGTTCTTCAGTGATAGCGGCCACCGCACTCATTATCTTCAACCATATATGCAGTAGCCGCCTGAGAAAGAAGCAGGTTTTCTTCTTTAGTCCCTAAAATAATCGGTGAAACGTTCTTTACTTTGATTTTGACATGAAAATGAAAACTGAACTATATTTGAAACTCATTAAACAACCATGTGGCTTAATCCAAGCAAAAACACTTCTCGAGTATTCAGATTATGAATTTTTTAGATTTATATTACCCCCAAAACAGGAGTTTTTTTCTTTATATTCATATATACGCTTCGAAAGTATTTGGGCTAATGTTTTCTTGGATTCAATATTTAAAAACAATCTATCTTTAGAATTTTCAATAGACAGTCTCGCGCGTTGAGATAAAAATGTTTCTTCCAGTAGAGTGTTACCATTTCTCGCTTTGTAATCGTTGAGTTCATTATTCAAAAATTCGTTAAAATTTTACAAAACATGAAATGCATAATAAAACAAATTCAAAATTCGAGCTTCTAGGTGTCCATATTCGGCTGGATGAATACGTTATTCAAAATTCGATGGCTCAATGTACCGTTATTTTTTCACAATGGAACAAACACGCATATTCTTCGTTATTTAATTTCTTAAAATATAATACAAGGCGATAATATTTGATGACAATAATTTAAAACATTCGCAATTTAAGTGTTTCGGTTCAAAATGCCGTTTCGAAATTAATATCCCATTCGGGACAAGCGTCTCGTTTGGCCAAAAAACGTTTTCTATTATAATATCAACACACATATCTTCATTATAATGTTAGTTTTAAAGGAGTAAAATAAAGCTAATAACACTTAGAAGTATGACATTTTGTTTATAAAATGTGATCCAATGCGGCACTTTCAGAACAACCAATGTTAACAGTTTTCAAACATTTCAAGTTTCATATCCTTTTCCGGGATTTTAGTTAGAACTTCCACCAGAGAAGTTTTCACCTGAATATTATTTTGGAGACTGCATGAAGTTTAGTTTTCAATGTCACACGAAAATCTTTAACACTTTAGAAACATAATTATTATACATACAGATAAGTGTCCCAAGCTTTTTAAAATGTCATATTTTTCTCGAAATAATTTCAGATTAAAGATTTTATAAATGTTACTTATATAATGTAATTTCAAGGGTATTTAAGAAATTCATAAAATTTCTGAACATTTGATTTTTTTCCCTAACAAACAAGGAATTTTTCGATCGTTTCTGAAACTAGAATAACATGTCATTTTCAGGACTAGCAAGGAAAAATCTTTAATATATGTTAGCCATAGAAGTTGGTCTGCCCATCTCAGATAATTTGAAAGTGTTTTTCAGCTCAAAGAGTTTATCACGAATTCAAACAATTATGAAGCATAATTCTCAAAGAATGTATTCACCAGTGTAATTAATAAAAGAAAATTACTTTAACAAGCAACGGAAAAGGTTTTGAGTGTGAACGAATCGAAAGCTGCGTCTTTTCTTGTTGGAAATATTGAAGTTTCAAGTGAATTACAAAATATTGCTCAAAAAGAAGTGACAAGTCAGGAAATAGATCAACCCCCAAATGAATATTACTAGAGCTGTCTCTATATTTAACCCTAAAGGAGATGAAATTGGATATCATTTGACAGCCTTTGAACGTCAAATTTAATAAAATTTAGAAGTGCTATAGAATCAAAACAGACTTTTTACCTGAACAGTTCACTGCCGACTTATAGCGCAACTTATTGCTAGAAAAGTTGAGAAAACAACCTCAAAATTACCGAAAAATTGAGGAAATACTTCTAAAGATTAATTTCGTACCGTTTCAGACAAGTGGCTTTTTTTCCAACACACGAAAATCCCATGTACAACTTGGAGAGATTTCTACCATAAACTAGCATCATATTTTGAAAGATGGATAAAAGAACTTAAGATTAAAGATTTTGAATAGCTTAAAAACATAATTATTTGCGAGCAAATTAAGAAAAAAACAACTTCATAGCTTAAAGAACATTCCATTCTCCATAAGTCAGTAGCAGAATGCCTACGAAAATATCCTTTATGCATTAAAGAGAAATTCAGCGCCACCTAACAAACAAAATTTTAGAAATGAGTTCCCGACATTAGATAGAAATTCAACTTCACTGCGATACCTGAGGAAAATAGTCAAGAGAAAACAACAAGAAATGTATTCTACAAGAACACGAAATCTACACTAGAAACATCGAACATCCAAATTTATGAGTGAGAAAATTCTGAATGCATACGATCCAAATGTCCTAGTTGGTTAAAATCTAAAAAAAGAAGCAAAATCGTCTTTAAATAGTCTGAATTTGTTTTCGTTCGGATCATCCATTTTTCAAACCAGTTTAATTCTCCTTCAAATTTGTGGATTTAAAGCTGCTGTGTATGCTGAAACCAGTGCATCATATTGTATTGCGAGCGGAAAGTCATACCATATATTGCAAAGTTTAAAATGTAAAGTTTAAACCCAAGCAAATTAAATTGACGCTCCCTGATTGAAGAAAGAGCAACGTAGCTGCTTTGACTACAGTTGTAGATTTTAATGTGGTAAAAGTGTAAGTAAAGTGGTAAGAACTAATTCGTTTGCCTGAAGCGAAACGAAACAGAACTCTCTTCGAAATAGGCTTTCTCTAGTCTTCTGTTTTCTTTTTAATATTCTCACGCACTTCCATAAAACTTCTTACGTACGTACATTTTCTACAAGTTTCTTTGCAACACTGATAGTTCTAAATCCATTTCTGATTCTTAGAAAAGAATTGCAGAAACTTCTCATTTAATGTTTTTGAAATGCCCTCTTTATTGAATCTTCGAAGTGACCGAGGTAAGCATTGAAATACAGAACAACGTACTCAACTAAACCGCTCGTTGCAATAACTCGATAGATACTTTGACAAAGGGAGAGACCTAAACCCATACAATGAACATTGTAAAAATATTGAAAGTAGTCCATCTGTTGCAGATTCTCATTACAGAACGAATCTCGTAAAAGGAGAATTGCTGAAAAAGAATTAGATTCTCTCCTGGCTAAAGGTATAATTAAAGAATAAGAATCACTATATACCAGTCTTCTTGCATTGGTGCCTAAATTACATTCTATAACAAAAAAATCGACGCATCAAGAAGGAATCATCAGATTGCTTCGAAATCTCATATGTATAAATGTTTTGACCAAATATGCAAGTGATTAAAATTGTTGTCCAATGAATGAATAGTGCGATCTCCAGCATATCGAAACTGCGCATCGAGCAGATGTATATAAGGGAGCTGCTCTTCAACTGTTGTTAACTATATTTTTCCTAGAACTAAAACGAAATTCTGCAGGAGAGAAAATTCATCAATTAAACAATATGTTCAGATTCAATATCACAACAGAAAAATATCAGCCCAGAAAAAGCCAATTCAATGTTTCAATTGCCAGTAGCTCGGGCACTCCCAAAATAACTTCTTTTAAAAGGTCAGATGCTGTAAGTGCGGACAAAATCCCAGATCCAATACCTGTAAATTAAAACCAGATGAAAAACCAACATGCATTTACTCTCAAAATCACGTTTCTTCTTATCGCGGTTGTACAGAAAAAATTCATTCATTTAGAGAAGATAGAAAAACCACAAAAAATTCCCACTAAAGATGACTTTCCCGAATTCATTTAAGCTTCAGCCCAAACTAATCAAGAGATGCCTAAAAACCTTTACAGTGAGAAAATTAAACAAAACAAATCCGCAGGAAAATTTAGCAGAAATCATTAACATTTTCAAAATTCAGGAAACCCTGTATCTCATGAAATCAATAACCACAATAGCTCAGAGAATTAAATTAAATCAGCTAAATCAAATATGCAGAAACTTTGTCTAGCTTTTCAAGCAATGGAGATTATTTTGAACTTTGCAGATCAAGATTAATTCGCAACTTCTCCCAATACAAGCATAGCCGAGCGAAAGAAATTTTCGCTTCCTAAGTTCGGGCCTCAGCACCGCTCACGCTTCATTTTTGGTTTTAAAACAAAAATGTCTCTTCTTTTCTTTTACAATTTTCGCCAAAAGATGGCGCCTTCTTCTTCTGTTCTAGAGACTAATCACTAGGTGAAAAAAGTACGTTCCATCATACTGGATTCAACTCATCATTAAAGATGCCCTATTTATAATATATTGGTAAAAGCCGCCGATTGCCTCTTAATTGCGTTACGACATAGACTGTTGTTAAAAGTTTCTGTTGCACTGCAATTTAGAATTCCTTTCAACGGCTGAAAAAATGCCTTGCAGCAGAATTCGAGCTCATTACGAGCAACTGTCAGAGTTTGAAAGAGATCGTATCATTGGATTGAAATAGACAGGTTGGTTAAATCAGAGAATCCCTCGTCATATGAGTCGAAGCGATGCGGCGGTTAGTCGATGCTGGCAAGAATGGGTGGAAAATGACATTTTTCAGCGTCATGATGGTAGCTGTCGACCTAGTGCCACAACAGATCGGGAGGACAAAGTGATTGTCAGATCAGCTGTCACAGCGCCTGATTCATCGCTATCAACCATCAGACATCGACCCGCAGACGAGTGTTCACCATGATCATTCACAGACGGCTGATAAAACGAAATCAACCAGGAGTTATTGTCCGGTGTGCCATTTCACTCGATTGCCGGACCCCTTTGCTCGTCATTAGGCGCACACTTACAGAACAGCGGTACGTCGACGACATTCTGGGACCTATTTTGCTACCGTTCTTTTTGCAATACTCTGGCCTTATTTTTCAGCAAGATAATGCCAGATCACATACGGCACGTGTTACTATGAACTGTATTACAGCTCGTTAAACACTTCCTTGGCCAGCCAGATCTCTCTTCCATCCAACATGAATGGGATACGATGAGAAGGTGACTGCATCTACCAGGGAATGTTGATGAACTATCCCGACAACTGGAGCACATTTGGCAAGAAATACCGCAGGAGACAACCCGGGCGCTTTATCAGTCTATGCCACGCCATGTGAACCTTGCATCCAGGCTAGAGTTGGGTCAACACCTTATTGAGCTCGTTATTTTGTAGCTATGAAATAAATCATTCAATTATTCTGAAATTTTAATCGTTTTCTGTTTTGTGCATAATCTTCATAGACATCAAATTTTGTCTCCATTGGGCAAATCTTTCTTGGTGAGTTAATGTTTTTGTTATAGAGTGTAAATGGTGGCATAACAATTTGCAAAGACTATTGCAAACTAAATGCCACTACTACTGCAGACATGTATCCTTTACCAGACATGAACGATCTTCTGATAGAAGCGAAGTGAATGGCCTATATATCAACCAGCGATCTTAAATCAGAGTATTATCCGGTTAAAGTACATGAAGCTTATCAAGAAAAAGAAGATTCAGTTTGCCAATTTGGAACATAAATATTTGCGTATGCCTGCGAATTTTCAGTGCCTGACTAACAAATTTAGTGCAGGCCAAAAGAATGTTTTTGATCTGTCGTAATGATGTAAGTGATTTACAAGCTGCTTTCAAGAGACTCTTTGCTTAAACTACATGTCATTTTGCGTGTGACCTAGTTAAATATTTAGGTCAGTGGATAACCTCAAAATGGAATTGAAGTGGACCCGAAAAAAGTGTCCTTTACTCAGAGAATCCCTAAGCGAACGATTATAAAGGAAGTTCAGTCTTATTTGAAAACTTGCTCATGGTTTTAAGCGGTTCGTTTCAAGCTTTGCGGAAATTGTAAGACAACTCAGTAACCTTACAAATAAAATGTACAATGGATTGGGTATCCTGAAACTCAAAAAGCGTTTGAAGAATTGCAGAAAAGATTAATAACACCTGCTGCTAAAACAACCAGATGGACCGAAGCCGTTTCGCATCCGTATATATGCTTGTAGCTATGCTCTAAGAGCAGTGCTTCTTTAAGGAGAATGCTGAGAGAAACACATTATTGAGTAGGTCGGTTGTTTGCTCATCCCAGCAGAACAAAATTACTTCACTACTGAACGTAAGGCATTTGCAGTAGTTTGGGCTCTGCAAATATTTCGAAGTTATGTCTGAAACCAAGCAATAATCATAACATCTGACAACCAGCCATTAAAATGGCTTATGAGCATCAAGCCACCATCAGGTCGTTTGGCAAGATAAGTTGTTCAAATTCTATACTATAATCCGAAAATTGAGTATAGGCTTGGTAAAGCTAATGCGCTTGCAGACATGCCGTATAGATACTCGAATAAAAATGAAGATGCCACTTGTAACTTATTTGCAATATCACAGAATTTTCCTACGAGAAACCCCAAAAAAATTCGAGAACAGTTTAAAGACAAAAACTGAAAAATTAATTGACTGTTTTACAAGCATTTCAAAAGATAAACGGATAACACGCGACTAATAGAGGTTATCTTACGAATAACGCTATTTCGTATCATTATCCACCCTAAATAGAAACAGAAGAAGTCCAACTCATAGTTCCTATCCGGGGAAAAAGAGAGCGTATTGCAACAGCCCCATAAAGTTGCAACTGCTGGACATTATTAAGCTGAAGGAACTTACAGTAAATTTGATCTAGATACTATACTTCTGCTCAGAAAATCAGCAACAACGTTAAACGAAAAGGTACAAATTTAAAAAGAGAAATTAAAAGATACAATTTAGGTATCTTTTAATTTATCTTTTTAAATTTAGGTAGAGGTTGCATTGCCGAATGCAAATAGGCAACTAAAATTAGCATAAAACGCAATCTCGCAGTCACACCACAACGCCTTAATAAGGGGCATGAGTTAGTTTGCAAGTAGCGATAGTTCCGTGTAATCCGAGATATTCAAAGCGGAAAGCATGAGACAAAGACACCATTTGCAGGATGAAATGCGTTGAAGGGCTCTTGCAAACTGTGTAAGACAATCTGCTGTTGCGAGAGAGCTGAATGTTCATCGCAGTATCATCAATAGGCTGTGCAATCGTTACCAAAGGGATCAAATTGTTTGTAAAAGACGTGGGTCTGGACGCCGGAGGATTACTACAAAGGCAAATGATTGCTTCCTGCTTATGTTCAAGACGCCGTAAAAAACTAACAGGAAGACAGCTCGCGTCGCATCTCTGCTACACGACAGCCCATATTCCGCCAAACTGTGTCGCGTAGATTGTATGGAGGTAGAGTGTACGCCGGACACTGGATGAGCTGTGCTTTGTGTTCCTTTGTCCCCATCACATAGCAGAGCGTGGTTGAATTGGGCCCGTGAAATTCGCACTGGGAGACCAGAGCAATGGGCCCGTGTACACTTTATGGAGAGTCTCGATATAATATTCAGAACGATTCCTGGACGGCAATCATATGGCAAGAACTAGGGGCACACTATCTTGCGCCAAACATCATCGAAAGAGACCATTACATAGGACGATACTTATTTGTATCGGCTGGGATAGCAACAAACTGCTGCACCAAGCTCTACGTGATTCCTGGTGGCTCCTTCATAGCCATCCGAAATTGCGTCGAAATTCTACACCCTCTTCTGCGTCCTTTTATCGTTGCATGGATACCAACGCGATATTTATGGGCGATAACGCCCACCCGTATAAAGCTCGAATCGCGCGGAGATATCTTGACAGTGACATCTGACGTGGCTAGCTAGATCACAAGACCTGAATCTCATACAGCATGAGTGGATCATATTCGGACGATGGATAGCAGGTTGCAGTGTGCCGCCGGGCGCCCTCCACCAGCTTCGATATGCATTACTACAGAATGGAAGCTAATGCCACAACAAATGATCAATGACACTATAGCCAGCTTGCCTCACAGTTGTCAAACATGCATTTCAGTTAGAGGGTATCATACCCGTTATTAGCATGATGTTTTTACTGAAGATTCTTCCGACTCATTTTGTCTTTCCCGTTGTCATGTTGGTAACACGTGTGTTTTTGGTAATCTTTGCTTTATTTTTGCTATGTGGTCCAGAAATGCCATAACTCATGGATCAGTTTCACTTAGACCTATTAAATAGGTTTTGTTTAATTCCATCTTTTGCCTTTGTTGTTTATTTTTTAGCAGGAGTATATTCTCAAGCCGTGCGCAAGTACTTCTTTGCATATGTTAAAAATTGTCAGAAATGTAAACGTCACAAACCGATTAATCAAACGCCAACCGGTCTTCTTCGAATTCCCGTTTATGCCCAAAGGTTTGAAACCGCGGCTATTGGTATTTTTTGGACCTCTTCTACAAACCTCGTCTGATAAAAAAATCATTTTTTTTATCTTAGATGATACCAGTACAAATGGGTTTTTGTTTTTTTTTTTTTTTTTTTTTTTTTTTTTTTTTTTTTTTTTTTTTTTTTTTTTTTTTTCGTTAGGAAGAAACAAGTCTGAACTTCTCCAAAACGTTAGTCGAAGAAGCTTTTCCAGGAAACGAACTTTGATAACGGGTCACAATTCATAAATGCGCTTATGCGATAAATTTTCAGTTAAGCAAAGATCTCAAAATGCTCAAATTTAAGCAAAGACCTTATTTCAGTGTATCATCCTTAAGCAAA